CTATTTTTATTGCAATTTTTTTTAATTCGATTTATTCTGTTATTTAAATACTTAAGATTATCCAGAATCTAATGGATTGGGCTTTGATTACTTTTAGGATAAGAGTTTGCAGATTTATTGTATATACTTTTTTTATTACAATAATTAATAAATTCTTTGTTACTATCAGTAGCAAAGAATTGAAGAATTTTTGTCTTACTAATAATAGACTTATTTTCTTGAAAATTGTATTTTCTTTTGCCTCTGTTAAGATGTGTTTTTTTCTTGATCTTAGTTTCTAATTCATCTTTCAATATTGTATATTAATTGGACCTTATATTATTTTTAATATCAGTTTGACTTATTTTTATATCATTAGTTTATTGTTTGTATAATTATATAGATTTAATATCAAATTCTGCGGCTTCATTGAAATCCTGTCTCTCTTGAGAATACTTTTGCTCTTGTTTAAAGTATTTTCTTGCACTTCATATAAGTTTGTATCTATAAATGCAAATATATTATTTTAAGATATTACTAAAATCATATGCTATTAGGATACAAATTACAATATAGCTTCTTCTTTTAAATATATATAGATTTCTAAGAATATAATATGCTCTGACCTTAATATATTTAACTACTTTTGAAATCAGTTTGGTAATAATATTATATACTCTATATACTGTAATTATAAGAATTATAAGTTGTACTATTTAATAATTTTGTTGATTTTTTCTTCATCAGATTATTTTGAAAAAAAATATCTTCAATAGTTTCTATTCTAATATGGATTATTCATTTTTTCTCAAGATCAGTATATTATTTGTAAGAAATAATATATACCTTGATTCTACATTATAACTATGAATAATTATAAATATAAATGTTTATTATTTGTTTATATTAATTGAGAACAGCTTTGATTTCTCAATATAAGTAATTTTGATCAAAATTTATTAAGATAATCACTAGTAGTATTTCATTCTTCTCCTTTATTTTTTGAAATACTTTTTTGTTTGGTGATTAATTAAAGTTTCCATTTCTAAAGATATGATAGTAAAATTGTCTTTCTTCTTTTTGCTAATTTTTTCGAGACATTATAATATATATTTTTTCTCTTTATAGCAAAATGTTATTCAAGTATTATCATTGATAAATTCTTTTGTGAAAGGATAAGAGTTTTTTGGCAAGTCTAATATGATCAAGAGATATACTATTTGTTCTATCTCAGTTTTTTCTGAAAGTTTTAAGATAAATATATTTATTTTTAAATTTCTATTTTTTCTTGATATAATATGAATTAATGCTAGATATTTTTCTATTTCTTGTTTTATATGATTGCTGTCCCACTATATTGTTTTCTCTAATTTTTTTATCAATGACTTCTATTTTAATTTTGTCTTTTGATTTTTTGTCTCCTATTTTAACCTTAGTGATAATAAGAATTTTGATTGATGTGATTGCTTGAACTTCTATAGCTATTATATTATTAGATAAATTTGTTAGTAAAAAGATTGCTTCTGACTATCAACTGATTTGTTAATAATAGTTATAAAGTATATTATATTTATTTTCTTGTTCTATTATATCCTAATATTTGTTCTTTAAAAAGGGAATTAGAAGATCTTCTTTTTTTTTTTTTGTTCTATAGTTTATAGTTAAAGAATATGTTATCTGAAAATATTAACTTTGATAAATGTAGTATAATTAATATTCAGAATTTTAGTAATAATACTATTTATAATTGAGTATTTAGTTAGACTTGATATTGAGTTTGTGATAGTCTTTTGAGTTGAGATAATATTCAAGAAGATTGTAAGGCCTATAATTTTCCTTGTTGATAATATTTGTTCATTAGTTAAACTAAAGTTTTAATAATATATGCTTTTCTTTTTTTGATAACCTGCAGGAGTTTGTGTTTTATTTATAAATATATTGATTTTATAATATAAAAAATAAATTACTGTATATAATGTTGATATGTTTTATTGTTTTACTATTTTGAATATTGCTAGATTTTTTAAATTAGATGATAATTATTATTATTTACTTGTTTAAGTAATACTTGTTTATTTATTTATTTATTTATATTTATTTATTTGTCATTATTTATGTAAACAAGGTGTTTATTCATTGATTATAAGTTATGTTACTGTTTTTAGATCTATTATATTATTGGTAGCTACTATTATATATAAGTATAAAGTATTAATATATTAAATAAGTTATTTATAAAATACATAAGTAAGTTGTTATTTGAGCTAATAAATATAATATATTCACATTGCATGATCTTAAATATAAAATATTAGTATATTGTTTATGTTACTCTTTACTATTAAATAATTGAGACTTGAATATCTTCTTAAATTTTGCAGATTTTGAGCTTTAACCAATTTATCAGTTAAAGTTATTAACTACAGTATTTCTTTTAAATGTTAAGAAAAATATTAACTTGTACTGGTCTGATTGAAAACTTTTTAAAGTTGAAGTTGGATCTTTAGAAACTTACTGTAAATCAATTTTCTTGGAATTTTTTTTTCTTTCATGAAAAACTATACTATAATAGTTTTTCTTTAATATTTATCCTGTAACTATTATTATAAAGAAGTATAGTGTTTTGAAGCTTGATAGCAAGCTGTTGTTTTTTTAAATTATATGTTTTTTAAATATTAAAGACTGGTTTCTTGATTTCTAAAAAAATTATTAAAAAAGGAAATTAAGGAAGCTGGGGATCAATAAAAAAAGTTTTTTTTTTTTTTATAAAATATTTTATACTAAATAATTATAATATTGATTATTATAATTTATAATTAAAAAATTTGTTAAAATACTTAAAAGAATATTTGAAATTAATTCAAGTATTTTAGTTGACTTGTAAATAATACTGTGATAATTTATATTACTATAATATGATATTAATAAAAAAGAATTATCAAATTGGATATGTAGTTTAAAAAAGATTTTAAAATATAAAAAACAAGAAAAGAAAATAAAAAAGTATAAATAATTAATAGTTAAATTTAAAAGATAAACAATTATTACATATAAAAAATTATTGATAAATTTAAGAAATAAAGAAAAATTAAAAAAAATTATAACTAGATAAAATTCAAGGGGTAATTAAGAAATTAAAAAATAAAAATGAAAAAACATAAAAAATTTTTGATAAGATAAAACCAATTGAAGCTAGTTTTAAAAGAGTCAAAATAAAATCTTTAAAAGAAAAAAAAAAGCAAATAAAAGAAAAAGAAAAAGAAAAAAAAAAGAAAAAAAAGATGATAAATAGTTTAATTAATTAATTTTGTAATTTGTTAAATTTTCTATTAAATTTTAATATCAAATTTGTAATTTTTGATAAATTTTTTTCACAGTATATAATTTTTTTTTGTCAAATTTTTTGTTACAATAATAAAAAAATTTTTTTGATATAATATACAAAATTTTTAATAAATTTTTACATAGTATATAAATTTTTTAACAATTTTTTACACATTATAATATTTTTGCCAATATTTTTTATATTGAGTAGCAGTAATTAAAAAAATTTTATTAATGTTTTTGTTATTAAATTTAATCAAATTCAGCAATAATTCTGTTCCTAAATAATATAATTTCAATTATTGTTTATCTTATTATTTTTTTAAGTAATAAAGATTTTTTGTATTAACGAAAAAAAAAATTATATAAAGAAGCAAGTCTTTATAATAAAATAAAAGAACTTTCAATAAGTATTATAATAAAAATATATAGTATAAACAGGATTTTTTAAAATTCAATAATAAATTGTTTTGCATATTAAACAAAAATTTTATATCTAATAATATCTCTTATACATCAATTAATTGATTCTTGATATACTGTAAATTCTAATCTGAATTTTTTTGAAAATCATTTCTTAGTTTTCATTTGTCCATATTCATTTTTAATTTTCTTAAAGAAATAAACTAAAGGATTTTTTTTTTTTTTGAATTCACGAATTTAAAAATTATTTATAAAACAAGATACGAAAATTATAAATTATAAATTTTTTTTTTTTTGAAAAATATTTTTAGTCATACTAATATTAAATAGGTTGTAATAATGGTGAATCGATTTAAACTATTCTAATAATGGAAGCCTCTTTATTATCTAAAGTATAATTTAGACTTTTCAACTTTATAATACTTAGTTCAATTTTTAATCAGCTGATTTATATAAAGTCAACCCAGTATTTATATTATTAGAATAATTTCATGTTGCCTCTAATATGCAGCATCAATATATGTACGTCCATTTCTATTCGTTGTTTGAAGTGATATATTTTGTTTATCTTAATGCATCAACGGGATACTTAAAACAATGTATTTGGCGCATAGAGAAGTTAAGAGAATGTGCACGTTAGTGGTGTAGGTTCGATGCGAGAACTCATATTTTGAAATTCGAACCTTAACACTGTACGGCTATCACATCGATCGAATAATCGTTGTGATAACTTGAGGAAAGCTTATTAATTAAAATTAAATTCATCGTCTTAATAAAAATATTCATTTTGATTTTGGCAGTAGGACTGAAGTTGCAGGGTTTAAAACTAAAAGACGTATAAACAGAAACCCAGCCCGGATCGTGTGTAACGGTTTGGAACTACAAAATATAAAGTCGGTCCGGTCAAGTGACGGTGACGAACTTTATTACGAAACTTCTAATTTTAATGTTAGAACATTACACATTATAATTTTTTGTGTAATAGTTTTTTTTTTGTTTTTTTTTTTATAAAATCAGAAATTAATGTATCTTAAAAAATACGTAGAGCGTCCTGGCGCGGTGTGACCCCGAATTACAAATATTGTAAATCAACCTCCGTTATCAAAATTATTAATTTTCCGTATATATACGCATTCAACGCACCGTATATGCGCATTATTTCTAATGAATTTTCAATTCTTCTCACGTAACTAATCGGTCGTGCATTTTTTTTTTTTTTTTAAAAAAAAAGAAAGAAAGAAAAAGAGCTATTATTAATGTTCTCTTACTTTTACATCTTGTGTACATTCAATTCAAATTTTGACAAATTTTGACATAAGTTTTCGAGTTTTCCAATGAATACGTCTACATCTTCTGGCTTCCTTTCGCCATCAACAGGTTCAAATTCCACCGCGACTGTACACACGGTGGAAGTATCTCCTCCTATAACAGTGATACCACCAACATCGTCATCCACAATCATCATAATAATAATTATCTTCGTCTGTACACTATTTGTCGGAATAATAGCAATTTTGCTTGCTCTATCCACGTTTCATAGGTATAGGAGTGAAACACTTGAAATAAGTAGCTCGGGGAGCGGCAATAACGACTTTGAAGATGCCGGCTCTAGCAATATGAACATTTATAATAATAGGTCAATACCACCGATACAAGACATAGCTATAGACATAATGGGAGAAAATCGGAGAGGATTTTTGCATACGCCCACTACCGAGGAACTCGAAGAAGAAAACATAATAACACCTAATCGAGAACATTTTATGACACAGCAACCAGAATTTCAGCTGGGAAAAGGTAGACGTCTATCCAAGAGTAGAGGAGAATTTCAAAGAGGAACGTCGGTCAATTTTGGTGGAATCGGATCGAATAGAACCGAAGTCGAAGTGGGTAGTAGTAGGAAGACAAGAAGGGAGAGCGAAGGGGGATTAAAGATTGGAATGCGTGAGATACATGCTAACAAGGACGAGGATGAGAACTATCGCAAAAGATATAGTGTATAGCTAATTGCTCAGGAAGTGGATCGGCGAAAACTCTGAATCAATGTAAGATATTGGTGCATAACAATAGAAGCATACACTTAGAACGCGAACTTCTTCTAGAAGAGGCTGTCACGAATTCACAGCAGGTGTTTCAAATTAAAATCCATCCTACTACCTCCCGTAAGAACATAATGGTGCTTGGCGGACGAATTTGGTGTAATACCCTTGTATAAATAATTCTTCCAACATCGATGTACTTTAATTTGTAAATTTAATTTTACCAATGTAGTTACGTAAACGACCATTAATATGATTATTTATGAATTTATTATCGAATTCTTTTAGCATTGTATAGTTCCACGGACTGTTTGAAAATTTTTTAAACAAAAGAAAGAAATGAGTAATGACTTTATTTTAACGAATTGGTGTGCTAACATCTTATGACCACGCGACATATTTTCCCCATAAACTTTTCACCTTGCATTTGGCTGCAAGCAAAGCGAACACTTCAAAGACAAAAGAAAAATTACTCTCCCAGTCATTATCGAGGCTTCTCGATTTCACCTTGCATGACTTTACTGTTGTGACAGATTACAAATTATCGGAAAAATTTTTGACGGATATTTTGAGAAGAGAAGGGACCAATGAAATGTTTTGAATCCAAGAGGCATTGCTGCATTGTTGTTTTATTCATGGAATCTATGGCCTGTGAGCATTGTGAATTACAAGATTGATTGAATGTTAGGCTTCAATTATTATTGTCTTATTGCGAATTAATAGTAATAATAATAAGGCCTGTATTTACATACTAATAAAAGTAACACTGTTGTTTATTATTTTTTACAAGCATAGATCAAGCCCCTTGTTTATTTAATACGTGTCAGTACGTAAATTTATTAAATAATTCATGTGTATCGGCTACAAAAGCTTATGCAATTCACATTGAGGCTTTCTGCTTCAAATTTTAATATTATTTGTCGACTTTTTGTAAATTAAATTTCTTCCATGGGTCTCTTTAATGACAGTTATCGGTAACGTTATGATGAAGCACTAATTGTAAACAATTAATTTGCAATTTAACTACAGTATTACGCCCTCTACTAGTGCGATCCATACTTTTTTCTAGAGATAATGAATTTCTATGCGAACCACTCGAATTGCTTATATCACGCACGACGGATCATTACATGATTTTATCATTGTGCTTGTCAGATTGCATTGATAAATTTATAATCACTATTTGTACCATTAAAGTAAGCAAATCTATGCACTTATATGCACGTACTTGACGGCTCCACTTGACACCTACTTTTTTTACACGGTCGGACCAGTCATTCTAAAACACTGTGTAGCATGCAATAAATGAATTTACATAAAAACTATATTTTTGAACATACAATATGTAATCTTGTGCTGAATATGGTACGGGAATAAAATTTTAACCCTTGTTTATCGAAAGTTGACACACCGCGGAATTCATCATTTTGTATCAGGAGACCCATCAGAAATTCTATCCATCACATCAATTTTTGGTACATACATACCGTGCGTGTCTAATGGTAAATTTGTCGTCATTACAAAAAGTTTAATTGAATTTTGATAAACGATTCGTATTCTTTTCTGTAGATACGGTAATTCTTTCGTTCTGTTAGAAACAGAAGGTTTCCTTCCCTCACTATTCAAGCCAAGTGGAAATATGTCAAAAACAACAGCACCCTTCGACTTTAAAAAATCATACGATACTTACTACAACAGGCTAAAACTTTCTGTGGTGAACTTTCGATACCTACTCTCACAACATGATTTGCAAAAGCAAAAAAATTTTATTAAGTGCTTAATCGATCTTAATTAATACCAAGGCTTTAATAATAATACGGGATAAACCAATAGATTGGACCGTAGAAGGTAATCCGTTAAAGGATCACGGAAGAACCGATTTGTGTTACAGTTTCTTTAACCTCCAAAAATATGTGTGATCCAAATTAGAATACATTCGCTTCGTGAACTATCAACCTTCAACGGAGCGACTGCAAGATAAGTTGGTAGAGATGACCAAGGCAGTAAAAGAACAAATTGACAATTGCGACGCCGGCAAGAACATCCTTAATATCGAATTAACGAAGAAGCGCAAAAAAATCAAAACCGGTGAGAGTGTGGAGCACGCGAAAACTGGTGATGAAAGCAACGAAGAAAGGAAGGACAAAAAAAAGGAAGTTGAGGATACCATGGTGGCTGCTAATGGAGAGATTAGATGGAAAAAAAGAGCTTCGGAATTGACGAATGAAGTTGAGATGCTTAAGCGACGGTTATGTGTGGTTGAGCTAGGTAGCTATAAAACCTAGTAAAAACTGCTTCCAGTAGATGATTCTTTCAACACGTGATCCATCTAAAAATAGAACTTGAAGCCGCGAAACTAAACGTTGCACCTAACAAACGAAGAAAAACGAAGGTAGCGCAACGAATTAAGGAAGAGGTGGAGCAAGGTACGAGTGTATCGACGACAACTTTGAACGCGAAGCAATCCGGTAAAGTTACGACCGCTAAAAGGGGTTCTAAACGACATATTGAACCCGACTGTCAAATATTCGAAAAAATTCAAGGAACCAACGACGGTAACCTTCTCAATTCACAATAAATGAATAATCGAATGTACATTTTAAAGAAAATAAATATTTTCTACTATAGAAGTATGGAAGTCGTTTGATATCCATCAAGCCATATCATTCTTGCAACAAATCAAGCTATTAATTCAGGCGAATAGCATGTTCACGCCAGCAATGGGAACTTTAAATGCAGTGTTGAAAGATTCACCTTTCCAACACGGTATCGTGATCAAACAAGCGATTGTCAAGATTATTGGTTTTATGAGCGCGAAGCTGACAGATGTGCTACACGTGATCGAGAATGCCACCGTTGATTCAAAGGCAAGGCAATCTTATCCATCTTGTGTCAAGAGTTTTGGGGCTGTCGTGGAAAAACTAACAGGTTTGTACCGAATCTGGATGCGCGAAATTAGATTCGTACGATGCAAATATCTTATTGTTATTAGTATTTCTTGAGTCGCCAATACTTTCCATATCGGAAAAGTCGGAGATCATGGAAACTCTTGCGAATTCATTTGCATCTTTAATCAAAGCGATACATGTCCTAAGCAAACGGATGATTAGGGATTTGTTTCAAGAGAGCACCGATTCTGTCGATAATACCACCACTGCATATAACGATCCACGAAATGTTATATCTGAATTGTTAATTCACGTATGCAACGTAGAGCCAAGGTTAAAAGAGGCAGTATCATTCGTGGCAGCCAAAGAATGCCTGAGACTGGTGTTCGAAGAATTCGAAGAGAACAGGTTGATGCCCTCACAAGATGGCAGTTCGCCGCATGGTGAAATTGTACCGTTTATGACAACAAAAATTTCGCTTTCATGTGAGGAGGTCAATAACGAGACACTGTCGAAAATTGATAAAGAGGTCAAAGGTATAATGTGTAATGATAGCGCATATTTTTTATTATGGATTCTTGAAGAAATACTTGCAAACAATAACAACAATCGGATTTGTATTTCGAATCCGAATGGAAAAGAAATCTTGACAAGTAATAAAGTTCAACGAAAACAAAATTTGATTACGAATGCGGTATCATTGTTTTGCCAAAAGATTCACTAATTTTTTTTTTTTTTTTGAAAAGGTGAAACGCTAAAGAATATTTCTACCTTATTGGAATCATCCATAACTTACAAAGGAAACCGGGCTTCCTCACATGGCGATTCTTATTCGATGTATCTCTGGAATGTCTGCGAAAAATTATGGACACAGATTGGCGAGTTTCCGTTGAACAATCTGGTTCAAAAAATTTAAATTAATATTAATATGTTACAATAGACCATATGAGATCCACCCTTTAGATTATATAATTTACCTGGCGATTTGGTAATATCTTATCGATATGCAGTAAACATCACATAACCAAAGCTTCAAGCAAACAGTAACTCTTTTTACCCGAGTTCGCGTAACCAACGTTCAAATTTGATTTGATTCCGTAAATAAAATCTCGAATCATTCGATGTCTAAAATAATTAAATTTCTGCATGCATAATTCGAATATACTGTACTGTTTCGATGATAAAAATAGCAAAGATGCGTAAAAAAATTTATTAGTAAAAAAATTTTATTTATATTTGTTATTTATAAATTTAATTGTCAACAGTAGGAAAAATAAATGAATGAGTATACTGTGTATATGTATTCTAAAAATTGGCAACATACGGTGTTAATAATGAATAAGTAAAATAAATTTATAAAGTAACATAATAAATCACGTATATTTTTGCCGTTAGGAAAAAGAATGATAAATCAAATTACAGTATGTATATTTTTTATAGTTGGCTTGAAATAAAATATCTACCAAGATTAATTTAATGCATAAATTAATAGACTATGATTCTTTAATTGATTTCTATTTTATGGATCCATTTTATTTATAAAATTACAACAAATCAAATCAGATTAAATTTTACAATAGAAACAAAATAAATAAATAAATAAATAAATTTTGATTCCTTGATCCATTTTATTAAATATTTATTTAAACGATATAAATAATTTTATATAAAAAAAAATTAAAAATTAAATAATTAAATTTGTTTTATTAAATTTAAAATCAACAAAAAAAAATTTTAATAATATACAAAATTAAATAAGTAAACTATTTTTTATATTTTAAAATCAAATTTTTTAATGCCAATTTTATTAATATTATAAATTTATTTATTTATTTTTTTTATAACTCTCTGTCAGGCTAGGTATGTGTGCTTTATTAAACATATGTATACTTTACATTGGAGAATATATCGCTAAAGCTAAGTCTCTATCTAACTCACTAGTCTCTATTTTAAAAAATTATTAAAACTCTAAGTACAACTTCAGAAGTGATTTATCACTCTATTAGTAGTTCAAGTAAAGACTCTTCCAACTGTTAACTTCATTGCCTACAGATTATTACTGCAGATTACTCTGTGAGGTTCTAATAAAGCTTAAAACCCAATCATTTTATTCTATATTCCACTCTTCTTATTAAAATTTTTTAAAGACCTTCATCTTTGAGGTTTTCTTCTTTAAGTAGTGGATCTCTTTTCTTCAGAAGCATGGTTTTCTGACTTGAAAGATATAGAGGCCTTTTTGTCTTATTCTCTTTATTAATTCCTTGTATTTGTTTCTATTTAATTATCTTTTCATATCTCTTGTTCCAAATTTCTTTTTGGACTTGATTATAGACTTTTCTTTACATTTTTATTATTTACTTTCTTACTATTCTTCCTATATATTTATCTTGGCATTTTAGGTCTATTATTTCTAGGATAATATTTATTTTTATAAAATCTGTACAGAAACTTAACATATCTTAACTAGTTTTAAAAGCTTGTTCTACTACTTTAAAGATTCACTTATCAAACTTTCCTATTTTTTTCGGTCATCGATGATCAACTTGGGATTTTTCTCTTTAGTCTTTCTCTTTCTTTTTCATAGTAGCACTTTAAAGTTTCTAATGATTTAATCTATTTCTTTATTCCATACCTCTTTTAGTCAGTTTTTATAGACTAAAAATTATAGCAAGTATTCTATAGTTTCATTTTATTGACTACATGCAATACATCTCACTTACTTGTATAGATATGGTCTTCTTATAGCCAACTTACTTAGTGTAGATAGCTTGTTATTGGTTAGTTTAATAAAAAAGTTTCTTTATTAGAATTGTTTAAAAAATGTATTCAATGTGTATCCATTTTTAACTTTTTCTCATACTATGTTCCATGTATAAGTCTGGTGTTCTAAAATCTAATGACTCTATTTTTTTTCTATTTTATTTTGTTATATTCACTGATAAGCTATTGTTTTATTATTAATGTTCTTAATAAACTATCTAATTGAATCATCTAGAGTCATCCCTTGTCACTTGATTTTAGTAATAATTTTGTATAAAGTGGGATCTTTCTATTCAATCAGTAGAAATTTTAGAGCTTTCTTAGCTAAGGTATCTACTTCTTCATTATAAGAATTATTTGAGTGGGTCTTGACTTTTGTAAACTTTAGATTTATATTTTTCTTCTTTATTAACTCTGCTATGCATACCCAAAGAAACCAATATTTTTCTTTGAACCATCTCTTGTATGTCCTTCTTGGATCTTCTTTTTCTAAAGATTTCTACTGTAAATATATACCTAACTATTTATAAAGATTTTCACCATGCTTTCCTTTCAATTGAAACTATCAGAAGTATTATTATAATTATTACCAATTCAACTCTTGTAGATTAGGGCCAATTGTTTACTCTTATTTGGAACTTGCTTTTCTTTCTATATTTTCCAATCTAGATTCAAACTGCTCCTATCTTTATTTCTTTTTACTATTATTAATAAATAATTAATCAGAATAGAAGATTAGCTTTTCTTTAGATTTAAAATTATATTGAAGTATAACTATCAGATAATCTCGATAACACACTATTTAAAAAAGCAAAGCTGATCAAAACATCTCCTTATTTAATATTTTCTTTGATAATGAATTCTTTTAGGTTTCATGTTCATATGATTTACTTTATTATTTTGGATCTGAATAGGTTTTGATCACTATAAATCACTTTTTTAATTTTTTTTTCAAGTGCTAATCTAGGGTTGGGAATTTTTAAATCTTATATTCTTCTAGTGGACTTTCTTGTATTAAAGTATGGTACTGTATATATCTCTTTTATTTCTCTTTCTATAATATAGTCACTATTTAGTATTATGCCTTCTGAACATTCTGGGCATTTTTATATATTAGTCTCCTGATTATTGTTGGTGCTACAACTGATAAAGTGCTCTACTATCATAATGTTTTTATCTTTTTCTTGTCTTAATTTTCTCAAGTTACTTGATTTATTTTGCTTCTTATCACTATCTACAATTTTTTCTGCTTGTCCAATTAGGTTCTATTTTGGAATATTCTAGTTTCCATTTTATATAATTTTATCTCCAGAATCTTATAAACTGCTTTAGTTATTCTCTTGAGAAATTTTTGGCTATAATTTGAAACCATTCTGATATAATTCCTTTGCTTGTATCTTGTAGGAACTAAAGCAATCACCAATCCTTTATTTTTTTGATTTTTGATCGATCAGATGATCCAGATACATCAGTTGATTGTTTCTAAATAATGTTATGGATTTTTATATTCTTCTGATGCAAGATATTCTTCAATCCAAATGTTTCCCTTTTTCTATTTAAAAATATCTTGCCATTTTCAACTATAAAATATTATTTTCATATCTTTAGCAATTCTAGTCACTTGGAATGTGAAGTTGCCTTTGTCTGTTAAGTGATTTAAAAATTTGCAGGTTAATAAATTGAGTAGTTTCCAATTTTTGATCTGTGCTTGCTTGAGTCTAATAATTGTTGTGATTCTTACTGATCTGGGATCATTTAGTCTATTATAAAGTCCTGTTACTTGACTTTCTCTTTGTAGTATTCAAACACTTTTCAAATTATGGATCTTTGAATGATGAATTACACTATTGAACATAGATCTGCATAAACCACTCTTATTTTTAAAAAGTTTTCTGTATACTATTGTCAAGGTGTTATATATTTTCCAGGACTATACTATATTGCATTCTAAATTTTATTTTAGATATTAATACTCTATTCAGAATATAGAGGGCTTGTTTATCTATTATCTTTTTATATTTAAGGACTCTCATTACTATATTGACTTCTTTAAGTACTCATTCTTTGAGCTCTATTACTATTTTTTGATTGCCCATCCAGATCTCTAAAAATCTAACCTGTTCTATTCTATCAAGTTCTTTAATCACTTCTTTTTCAGTACCTACTTTTACTTCTTCTGAATAGCAATTAGGATTATTAAGAATGACCAAGACTAATTTGTTGCCATTTATTTGAGAATCATTGGTTTTTAGAAGATTTTTGTAGTTTTTAAAATTATTTCCATATCTTCCTTAGATCTTATTATCCATGTTGTATTATCTATAAAGGCTATAGTTGCATATATTGATTTTAGCCTTCTTGTAGTCTGTTTTTTTAGATCAGGGTTCCATGTAGCTAACATTTTATATCCTCTTTATATATTATTCTGGACTTTGCAAAGGAGAGAATCATAAAAAATTCTTTATAATAGAGGTGAAATGATTTCTCCTTGATCAATTCCATCTCCAGCCACTATTGATTCTATAAGATTATTTTCAAATATAACTCAGAATTATCTATTTTTAAAAAGATCCATTATAATCTTTATAAAACCTTTTGAAGCTTTAATTCTTTTCATTGTTTTCATCAGTATATCTAGATCAATTGTATCATATATTTTTATAGTATCTTGAAAAAATATCCATAGTTTCTTTTTGTTTTCTCTGACATCTTCATAAATATTATTAAAAATCTGAATTGTTTCTGCTATACTTTCTCCTGACAGCCTTGCATAGTT